CAGATTTAAAAACTCGACTGTCGTGTGCGCTGCCCTCCCTACCAGCCTTAACAAAAGTGAAACACAGATTGAAGTCACAAACGGTCATGATATTTTGGGTGGGGCTACCACAACGGCCGATAAATGCAACCTTATCATTATTTGGAATACGTGCGTCAACAAGTGTTCCATCAATCGCGCCGATGCAGTCCTATTTGAGTTAATGTTAGTATCGACATATCATTGGAAACTCTAACAAAATTAACTATATTGCATTCGATAAAATACCTTGAAGAAGGCATATATCGTGCATCCTTCGATATCTCAGCAAGTTTTTGCTCGAACTTATAATCTATGGGTCTAATGACATGATAGGACAAGCTAACAAGTGCGCTCAATCCGATTGAGAAGTACTTATTGTTTCAGATGAGTGTTGAAACCGCTCAATCGCTCCTCGCATTGACTCATTTTGGGATGATATAAATAGTGTTATTGCGAGCACCTCACGTGGAGTGGTCCTCGAAGATCCATGAAGGCCGTGAGCTTCTACGAGTAATTCCAGGAGATCGATAAATATTGTCTTTCTCATTCGAAACATATTAAAAAATCTTGTTGGGTGTCCCGCAAGCAACTCTCCAACCCATTTATCACCAATATATGAAGATGTCATGCATGGCGATCGATCAATGTTGTAGCGCGTTGTAGTACTCGTGCATCAAACATATTACCGTCAGAAACATCCCTTTCCGCTTTCTTCTTCGTGAGTCAATGTGATCCTCTATTTGTCTTCTTCTATTTGCATTCATGGTGATTTTTATCCCTAAGTATAAATAGATTGACAAGTGCATGAGAGTTTGAGACATAAAAAAGAGATGTTTGCATGTAATTAGAAGGGTACAACAGAGTCGACAAGTACAACTCTAGAAAAAAAAAAAATAATGCAGTAAAAATATTCTAGTGATTAAAAATATAAAATAACTTAAATGTTCAAGTGATCATAAAGGATAATGCAGTAGAAAGGTTCTAAGGATAAAAAATATAAAACATCTCAATTGTTTATGCGATTATAAAAACGCCGAATAAATGTCACTCTGCGGGTGGCTGACATCTTCACAAAGATATCTCTACGGACCGGGTTCTCTATTAATTCTGCTGCGAATTGATATAAATCTTCATTTGCATAAATTTCGGTTGTAGTGCTTAAGATTTCAAGTGCCTCCTCGATAGAGCTTGATTGAGAAGCCTGACATTCTGCCTTGAAACAAGAAACCGCCTCGGATAACTCGAGTCTGAGGGAAGAAGCACCAAATTTTCTTTTACCAACAAACTTTGGACGTTTGGAACGAGAAATTGTTTCATATTTGTTCTGATCTGGGCTGGGGACATCAATGAAATCAGCTGAATCTCCGGGGGTTCCCAAATTCACGACATTGCCAGCGAACTCTGTCTCGCTTGGGCTACATGCATAGGTTCCCGTTGCAACCACCCCTCCAAACATGCGATCGAGTTTTTCCTCAAATTCAGGCTCTATTCCAGAAAACTTAAACATCTTTGCAGCGGGAACCACCTACATGGAATTTGATAAACACCCAATTAATAATAAACATATGAACATACAAAATTACAAAGTGTATAAAAAATTCTCACCGTAAGTCTGTCAGCCCACCATTCATCAGGTGCATCAACTGTTCGTTTCACTGGATCTCAACCCAGACCCGTAGATCCCCTCTTCAATTCTTTCCAAATTTTTCAGCCCTTCTTCAGTTGCTCCCACTTGTTCTTCATTTGATTTGCAACTTGTCGTACTCCCTGACATTCCTTGAAACATCTGATAATATTTTGTCACCCTTCTTTATTAAAAAAAGTCGTAGGTCTATTTTCCCGTTCAATCTCTTTAAGACAAAGATCGCAAAATAGTATTTTTGTTTCTTTTTCCCACAATGCAGGTGTAACAACCTCTTTAGGTTTATTGTTCATGTTATGACTAAATCAAAACAAAGCCATGAAACGTCAAATTAAAATCAAGTAGAAAGTAAAAAATCAAATCATACTTGTGTAAATATCATAAGTTATAGAGTAAGAACTGTTATAACTATAAAGAAAACATATCTACCACTCTAACATGCAAAGTTTGCTAAATTTTGAAATCAGAGTAAGAATCATAAGTTATAGTTCATGCAAGTATATATCTAATATTTTTTTTGATATTAATTGCAGCTGTTATTCATCCATTTTGCAGAGCACGCTGTCTAAATAAAAGAACAACAACAAAATATGGGATAAAAAATTGGGAGGAGACATACCTGCTTCAATCAGGTTTCGGTTTTGAGCGGGGAGGAACGAGGCAAGCTGCTTCGATCAGCACAAAACACCCGAGCGACCGTGGTAGACGATCAGCGACCGACCTAGCAGAGGGAGGAGAAGGGGAAGTCTTCGCGAAGTGATCAACGAGTAGGGGCTTCGGAGTGGGACAATTGAGCGGGGTGATCGAGCAAGAATCAGCGGTTTCCCGAACAGGGGGAGGAGAAGAGGGAGTCTTCGCGAAGGGAGCAATGAGCAGGGCTTCAGAGCTTGACGATCGAGCGGGAAGCGGCGGTTTCCCGGACAGGGGGAGGAGAAGGGGGAGTTTCGCGAAGGGAGGAACCAGAGCAGGGGATTCGGAGCGGGGCGATCGAGCGGGTTGATCGAGAGGGAAACGAAGGTTTCTCGAACAGGGGGAGGAGAAAGGGGAGTTTCGCGAAGGGAGCAAACCAGAGCAGGGGCTTTGGAGTGGGGAGATCGAGCGGGAAGCGACGGGTTACCGAACAAGGCTAGGTTCCTCTCAAGCGGGGATTTGGAGCGGGGCAAAGGAACGAGGGGGGGGGGCAAAGGAGGCATTAACCGTCGGCACCTCGAGAAAGCCAGGCCACGAGTGTGACCCCGCGTCCTGCTTTCTTCCTTTTTAGCGGCAATCGACTGCTGCCGCCGAAGAAAAGCTCGCGATGGAAATATTAGTAATAAACTTCGTTGTTTGGGGCCGCGACGCTCGAAAAACGCGGCCCCAAACGGAGCCTTAGAGTCCTAGTAGCTGTGGACGATGGGTCCGTGGTACCCCGACCCAGTTACCTTTAAATTTTTAGGATTACTCTACCTTCCTATTGTTGAGCTCTTTTGAGCCCTGTTGCTCCTTTGACTTCGTTGATATCACCTTGACGGTCTGATGTCTATGAGCTGCCGCTCTTTTGGGATACAGCGATTTGTCCTTTGCCCTTATAGCCCAAACGTGCTTTGACGTGTTGGGATATCTCTGTCAAGATGATTTAGGTTATTTCGTGGGCCCTATGTGCCGAGGAACCGCTACCCATTCGGGATGTGAGAGAATCACTCTCTGCCCGATGACTTAGCGTGAGTTTTGAAGCATCGAAAATATTCTCACATGAAATAACCTCTCTTTGATTGCTTATACCCTAGGTCTATGATAATATAAACGAAACTCCTTCTATCGAGAGTATTTTTGTGCATTCTCCAAGATATAATTAACCAGTAGGAACACGTTCCTCTGGGAGTGTTATTGACTCCAGAACATGTACATACACCTGGCTCTTTGGTTATGAGTAATCTACGTAGATACTTCTTTCGCGGATATTGGTTTAAAGTGCCTCCGCTTGATCTTGTTTGGGCGGACATTCTTAACCTATCCTTGCAAAGTTTATCACACTTAAACCCTCCACATTTTTACTTTTTCTTTTGTTAGTCATTTTGTTGTATGTCAATTCTTATTTGGTTCATCTCCTCTTCGAATCACCGATATGATTCAGGAAGAAGATTTATTTGAATAAGGGAAGTATACGACGATCGACAAACTGACGACTCATTTTAAAATAAAAAAGAGAAAAATGAACAAAAATAATTACAAGTGCTAATGGGAATGTTTTGCTTCATTGTGCTTCATGATTTTTGTGTTCTATGAGGTAACCTGGCTTGTACTTCTACCTTTGCATGGTGTCGTTGCCATTTTTATTATGTTTATTAATCCACTCATTGTCTCCATTATCACTTCCAAACTTACTATTTGTTTTCTATGTTATCAATCCTTTTTAACTTTGTATGGTTGAGATGCTTTTAAAAGATAAATCAAAACTAAGATACCATATGTCTATGATATTGTGTTGATTGTTCATACATATTTTGAAATGAATGCAAGTTAGAATAATTGAGAAAACTTTTAGTAGACATGGGTCTTAAAATTATTAAGTAGAAAGCTGAGTGCATGTTGTATGATTTTAGTGGATGCGATGGTTATGAGCCATTATTATTGGAGAATCACAATATTTGTGATAGGTTGAAGTATCTTGGACCTATCAGACAATGAATGGTGAAATAAAGCTGATGTAACTTCTAGATTTAAAGCCAGGAGGAGTTCAGGCGCACTACACATGAAGATAATATTGTGAAAATATAAACATAAGCTTTGTAAAATTTTAATTAAACTAGCTTTGCTGTTTGGGGGAATAAAGAAAATCGTTGATAACCAAATTGAGTGTGTCAATTTGGATGAGTGTTATAAAACCAGAAATTATGATGAGAAATGATTATTTAGAGAGACATGGGAGTATTACCTTTTGAGGATAAGTTCGCAAAACTTAGACTTAGGTAGGTGGCTTGGACATATACAATGTAATATAGAAGATAGTTTGATTTATTGATACAGAGAGATTATAATGGAAGGGTATACCCTATGTTAGCTTTGCGCAAAATAGATTCACTATTTCATGTAGCTCTCAACAAGGTGATTGGATAATTCCATGAGATTGTGGATAAGGCTAATCACGTTTTTTTATGATGGTGATGATTCATGTTAGGTTCTTTGTTTATTGCCAGTTCTAATTTCTGTGTTTCGTATTTCTTAATTCTTCATTAGCAACACTTTTTGCATTTCTTTTTCTTATCCTACATTGACAGCACTGCTAATACTGCATAGTATTATTTACTGATAAAAGATTGGGACTTGTACTTCTCTTCTTTATGCATTTCATTTTCAGGTTAATGGTATTCTTATATGTGAAGCTGGCTGCATCCTGGAAAACTTGAATTCATTTTTAGCAGATAAAGGGTACTGAGTATATTTCCTTCACGTTTAAATCTTTTTATGGTTCTAATAGTGCTGCTTGAACTTGTTGGTTGAATTTCAAAGGTTAAGATTTAAAATCTGCTAGCTTAATAAAAAAAAGGAAAATAAACTTATAGCCAGTCAATGAATTGGGTTCATGCTGAAGCAATTACAGAGAATTACTGGAAGATGGTATTAACTAAATTTGTGGAACTAATGAACCAAAGATAACATGATAGCAAGGGAGAGTATTTTTCAAAATGTTGAGTATTCCTGCTCACTCCTTCAAAAATACCGAAATTATCAAATGAATTATTGCATCTTGCTTCAAGTATAGCAAACCTTGATGAATGAAAAATTAATTTTACCCTATGATACCCTAGCCTATTAAACATGCTTTAAAACCTTTTCTTCATTTGTTTTTGGACACGTTGGGGACTAGTTTTAGGAGCATCTAATTGATTGGATACCAGGTCACCAACTTCTACAATAGGAAGATCAGGGAGAGCATGCACTATCATAACAAGTGAAATTAAATTAATGTTGATGTTTGAAGAGGAAGTTTCTCCCATAATCGTGATATCTCACTGTCTAGGATAAGTTTATGTACTAATCATTAATACCTTTCTTTGTCAATGCAAGTCGATTCTGCTTTGGTTTCAACTTCATTGAGTATGGTGCCAAATTAGTCCCATGACTACTTACATGTGGTCATTTCAGACCCAGGGTCTATAAGAATGCCAAATTAGTCCCTTGAATCCTTAAATCGGGGCTGAATTCTCCTTTGTGGAGATTATTTCATCCCATATTTAAAAAGTTTGGGGACTAAGTTGACACTTTATAGACTCTGAGACTAAAATGACATCCTGCAAAGAGTTAGACTATTTTAACACTTTTCTCCAACTTAAGTTAAAGTTTCTATTTGTGCGTTTTGCAGGCTTATACATTACCATACCAATTTTCTTTAACATAAGCTATAGCTCTATTAACAAACATCTATCTCTATGTTTAATCTTATCTATGGCTTGGAAATATTTTAATAAATTAAGATCCTTAATTTGAAAATTTTTAGCCAAGATTCCTTTCAACTTATTTATTGTTTATTCATGATTTTATGTCAAGGTGATGCCATCAACTTATACAATGGATGTAATTTTTTTCTTCAAGGGACTTATTCTTAAATCAGAAGTGTCCAATTACTGTTGAGAGTACCCATGCCTTGATTCACCATGGTGAATTAGTGGAATCATTCTATTGGTGATCATTGTAAATCAAGAGTAGTCAAGTATCCTTGAGAGTAACCATTGCCTTTATTGATCATGGCGAATTTTTTGAATCATGCTATTGGTGATTGTTTTAAGTTATAGATTTAACACGACATCATTTTTTTTTATTTATATGGCAATTACTCCCAAATCTTATCATAGAAACCTTATCTTATTCATCCCTATTAAGGAAGACATTATCTTGTATCTAATTGATGAAGCAATCAATATAAAGTCACAATAAGAGAAGTTTATCCTAATAGTGTTCATTTAGCAACATGGGGAATTTTTTTATAATTAATTCCATTTATTTAGGTGGATCTTTTTGCAACTGATCTTACTATGTATCAATCATTATTTTCATTAGATTTATATTTCATATTGAAGATTCATTTGCATTAAATAGTATTCTTGTCTTTAAGAAGTTTTGTTAAGCTTCCACTATCATTTTTTTGAAGAGTTTGAGGGTTTTTTTTTTTGTGTGCGTGTAGTTACATTTTTCCATTCAAGCAACTTTGAGGTTTCTTAAATATTGGTTGGATTTTTAATGCTAAAAGGATTCATAGTAAATGTATGAAACTTGGGAGATAAGTTGTCATAAGAAATATATTGTCTTATCAATTGATTCATATTTGTTCTTATGCTTTTTCTGTGAAGAGAAGGAATATGTCCATCATCTTGAGAGTTGTTGCTTCCTTGCAAATGGTATTGTTAGGACTTGGGAAAGTGGAGATGTTTTGAGAGAATGTTTTAATGTATCTTGTCAGTTGAATTTACTTAGTGGTTTGAAATAGATGGATTTTTTTAATCTTACTCATTGCATGTGGTTTTCGAAAGCTTTCAGGGTGTTCAAAAGTGTGAGATTCAGGTGGGTGGGATTCAAGTAGGTATGGAATGCAGTAAAATATGATTGATATCATCATAAAATTGATGCTCGTTTAGTGAGTTTAAGAAAGAATGATTGGTTTTCTAAAAAAGTCTTATATTTGGCGGTATAATATAACTATTTGGATAATAACCTTCGTACTATTATTGGTGGCATGTATAGCAGTAAAAATGCATATTACACGGGGCTCGACAGGAGGACCGACTGGTCCTCTCCACCGCCCCCTCCTCTCTCTTCCCTCCCTTTCTTTTTCCCTCCATTCCTTTTTCTTCCTTTCTTTTCTTATTTTCTTCTTTTGGCACTTTTAATTTAAACCCTTTCCTAAATTCTGATATCTGATTTTATTCTCCCTTCTTATTTTAAAAACCTTTCCTAAATCTAAAATTTGATTTTATTCTCCTTTCTTATTTTAAAAAGCCTTTCATAAAATCTGAAATATGATTTTATTCTCCTTCTTATTTTAATTGCTTACTAAAATATGTCAAGTCTCTTTATAAATAGGAGGTGATGTGCTTAGAGTTAGGAGTCTTGTTTTGATATTTTAATTCAAGAATTAGCCTTGGTATTTTCCCTTTGATGGTTGTATCCGACGTCGAAGTAGTGCTCCGGCTGTCCCTCGTCCGAGGTTGTGATTGTTTCCACGGGTTTGAGTGGCTATAGCTCGACCCCGCTGAGATATTTATCTCTCCTTCCAGCGCCTCCTCTGCTGCCTTTTCCAACATTTTGACAGCCAACAGCTCCTTGTTGTCCTTCTTTCAGCTCCACCGGTCATCTCCTCCTTTAGCTTCCTTGCAGGCCGCACATTTTGACTGCTCCTTCCAGCGTTCCGACAGCCAGCAACTTCTACTGTCCTCCTTTCAGCTCCACAAATCACCTCATCCTGCAGTTTTCTTACAGGTCGCACCTTTCGGCTGCCCCTTCCAGCGTGCCCCTTGCTGCTCCTTCCAGTGTCCCGACAGTCAGCAGCCCCCCACTGCCTCCTTCTAGCTCCATCCGTCGCACCTCCTTCTGCAGCTTCCCTGCAGGCCAGCCTTCTTCCACAACAGCCCGCCACTCTCCGGTCTTCACCGTAGCCACTAATCTAGCCTCTGTCGATTTTTCTGCTTCTCGCCAGCTGTGGTTCAACTCCTTTAATATTGCTGATCTACTGTCCTACTTTTCCACATCAGCCCGCCTCCTCTCTGGCCTTCACCGCAACTGCCAATCTAGCCTCCCCTTGCCCTGAATCCCTCTTTATCATGCATGTTATGTCTTCTTTATTAAGTCATTAGTTGTAATCCTTTATTTTGTGCTTTTGCTTGTGCGTTTTCTTTTGTTGTTCGAGGCTTCATTGTAACTTTATTTTAAATCAATACTAAAATTGTGTCTTGCGTTGTGTTTTGGGTTTATCATTTAGTATCAAAACTAGCCCAACCCTGATCCAATTCTAGAGTTTCTAGCATCCGCCTCTACCCAATCAACCATATCAAAATTTTTTCTTTCATTTATTTTTTTCTCTTCTTTCTTTATTTCTTTTTTTCTTTCCTTCCACAAATCCCAAACTGTCAAATATGCCACCAAGTAGAAATATGTTCGAGCTTACCCGGAGAACTCTATCGCCTCCAACAAAGAATTGTAGAGATGACACAGGAAGAAGTTACCTTCCACCGATACTTGGAGAGTTGAAGGGGAGAGAGAGAGAAGGCGATCTAAATTCCTTTCGTGGGGATAATTTTAGTGATGAAGATGATAGGCCATGGCGTTTCAGAATCCAATATCAGAGACCTAAGAGAGATACATGCGTCCCTCCCACGGTGAAACTTTCCAAGAAGATATGCATTTAGAGGGCATCAAGGCCACGAATTGAAGGATGATTTGCCCGATTTTGAGGGAACATGGATTCAAGTGAATTTATTGAATGGGTACAGGTAGTTGAGCGGATAGTTGACTAGAAAGAGGTGCCCAAAGAGAAGCGGGTCAAATTAGCTGCTATCAAATTGAGGGAAAGTGTGTCTATATGGTGGGAGAATGTACAACGATAGAGGAGACGAGAGGGCAGGGAAAAGATTATCAGGTGGGAGAAAATGAAGAAAATCATGCAGAAGAAATATTTTCCCCCTCATTACCTCCAAGACATATTTTTTAAATTCCACAATCTGCAACGGTGAGACCTTTCAGTGGAGGAGTTCACAGGTTAGTTCGACCACTGACAGTTGAAGTACGACCTGACAGAGTCAAAGGAGAATACAGTCAAATATTTTTGGGGCTTGAAGCCTAATATTAGCAATTTGGTGCAACTACAACTGTATTGGACCTTGGGGGATGTCCATACACTGGCATTAAAAGTGGAAAGGTAGCATAAGTAGAGCCTACAACCACTACCCGCCAGGCAACCACCCACAATTGAAGACACCAGCAGGAGCATGCCACAAAGAGTTAAGAAAACTGGTTGGATACGGATAAAGCCACCCCCAGTGAAAAAGAGTTGACTACAATGCCCGCTAGAAAATGCTTCAAATGTCACGGATTTGGGTACATAACCTCCACCTGCCCGACGAGCAGAGTTGTGCCTTTTAGCAAGCAGGGCCCGTGAAAGAGGTTAGCGAGGAGCAGAACGCTGAGGAACAACGTGAGGAGCATCAACTTGCACCAGATGTGGGAGAAGCACTTGTGGTTCGACGAAATCTGCAAGCCGAGGACACAGGATCTGCACTGGCTTTGCCACAACATTTTCTACACCCGCTGCATAGTGAGAGAAAATGTATGCAGTCTTTTCATCGACAGAGGTAGCAACAAAAACATGTCATCAACTCAAATGGTAGAGAAACTGAGATTCACGACTCAAAGACATCCCCAAACATACTCACTGACGTATCTGAAGAAGGAAAATGGGGTCAACATCGACCGACAATGCCTAATAGAGTTTTCAATAGGGAGTCAGCTGCAGGACTAGGTATTGTGTGATGTGGTCCCCATTGATGCCTACCACTTTTTGCTAGGAAAACCGTAGCAATTTGACTAGAAGATTCATCACAATGGATTCAAAAACATGTATTCTTTCACCAAGCACGAAAAACACCTCATTTTACTTCCTTCGGTAGCACCCGAGGAGACGAGAGCCATTACTAGCAGAGTAGCGAGACCGGTTTTAGTGATAATCGATTCTGTACCACCATGGTCAGCACCATGCAAGAGATTTCAATCTTAGAAGATTGGACCGAGATGGAGGTACGCTCATAAGTGTTTTGGGAGGCAGTATAGTCGACAGTAGGCCCCAGGGGTTGCCAGGATTAAAGACAAGGGACTAGAAGCTTCGAAAGATGAGATCGAGGCTCCCCCAATCCCGGAAGACTGACGTTGGGCTCGACATGAGGAATGATCAGCCCTTAAGGGAGGGAGCCGCAACCCCCTCCTTCCTCTTCTCTCCTTTTTTTCCTCATTTCCTTTTTCTTACCTTTCCTTCTTTTCTTACTTTCCTCCCTAGGCCCTTTCTAATTTAAATCCTTTCCTAAATTCTGCTGATATGATTTTATTCTTCTTTCTTATTTTAAAAAACATTTCCTAAAATCGAAAATCTGATTTTATTCTCTTTTTCTTATTTTAAGTCTTTCCTAAGGTCAAATATCTTTATAAATAGGAGGTGACGTTCTTTGAGTTAGGGGGGTTTTGTTTTGATATTTGAATTCAGGTTTTAGTCTTGGTATTTTCCCTTCGAGGGTTATATCCAACATTGAGTTAATGCTCTGTCTGTCCCTCATTCAAGGTGGTGATCATCTCCATGGGTCTGAATGGTGCTCTGGCTGTCGCTCGATCTCACTGAGATATTTATTTCTCCTTCCAGTGCCCCATGCTGCTCCTTCCAGCATTACGATAGCCAACAGCCCCCTATTGTCCTCCTTCCAACTCCATCGGCCACCTCCTTCTGTAGGCTGCACTTTTCGACTGCTCCTTCCAGCGGACCCCTGCTACTCCTTCCAGTGTCCCGACAGCCAGCAGCCGCTGCTGTCCTCCTTCCAGTTCCACTGGTCACCTCCTCCTGCAGCTTCTCTGTAGGACGCACCTTTCGACTGCACCTTCCAACTACCTCTGCTGCTCCTTCAAGCGTCTCGACAGTCAGCAGCTTATGTTGCCACCCTTTCAGCTCCACCAGTCGGACCTCCTCCTGCAGCTTCCCTTCAGGCCAAACCTTCTTCCACAACAGCCTGCCACGCCGGCCTTCACCGCAGCTGCCAATCCAACCTCCGATGATGTTTCTGCTTCTCACCAGTTGCAGTTCGACGCCTTTACTATCGTTGATCTGCTGTCCTAATTCTTCCACATTAACCCGCCACTTCTCCGAGCTTCACCGCAACCGCCAATCCAGCCTCCCTCCTTGTCAATCATGCTGTCTTCTTCGTTAAGTTATTAGTTGTAATCTTTTTTTTTTGTGCTTTTGCTTGTGTGTTGTCTTTCCTTATTCGAGTTTTCATTGTAACCTTGTTTTAAATCAATAATAAAATTGTGTCTTACATCGTGGTTTGGGTCAACTCCGATATTATTCATACTTGTTCTTATGCTTTTCGTGTGGAGAAAACGAATATGTCCATCATCTTGAGAGTTGTTATTACCTTGCAAATGGTATTGTTCGGACTTGGGAAAGTGGAGATGTTTTGAGAAAATGTTTTATTCTATCTTGTCAGCTGACTTTACTTGGGGTTTGAAGTAGATAGGATCTTTGAATCTTAATCTTTGCATGTGATTTCTGAAAGCTTTCAGAGTGTTCAACTGTGTGAGATTCAGGTTGGTGGGATTTAAGTGGGTATGGAAGGGGTTTTGTTTGCTGTAAAATATGACTGATATTATCATAAAATTGATGCTCATGTAGCTAGCTTGAGAAAAAAATGATTGGTTTTCTAAAAAGGCCTTATCTTTGGTGGTATAATATAACTATTTGGATAATAACCTTTGTACTCCTATCGGTGGCATGTATAGCCCGTAAAAATACATATTATGACTTTTGTGTCATGTTGGTTTTTAACAAGGGGAAATCCGCACCATGGCAGAGCAATTAAATATCTTGAAAGGAATAGTAGAGATGAGTATGTTTTAGGATAAGCTTGGGTGAGAGTTTTCCTAAGGCTTTTGAATTTTAGAAGTCTTGAAGGAATGATTAATGAGATATATTATGATAATGACATCTTGCTTTAAGATTGTTTTGGACATTTCTAATGAACATAATTGATCGAGCAGCTTCCATAAGCTGTGTATTTTTCTTATTCTATCCCATTTTGTTATGGAGCATGAGTACGAGAAATTTGGTGAGCATTTTTCAGTAAAAGGAGACGGTCAAGAAAAAATATTATTTTTCATTGTTAATTCTATTGTCTAGAATTTGGTTTTAAATTGGGTTTGTATTAAAGAGTGAAATATTGAAAAATTGAACTTATTTCATGTCTTTGATTGAAAAGATGCAAGTTTCTATAGTATGATCATTATTGAAAGATATAAATCAACTAGCACTAAAGATACTTCGCAAGATGGTTACCAAATGCCGCTATGAATGACACCAATATATTAAGAGATCTTATTTGGATGGCATTTTGAGTATATGTTTGAACAGTTAGCATGTTTCTCATTTTTATGCTTCAAGATTTATATTGAAGAACGAGGAGAAATTTGCAGATATTGAGCATCTATATAGACAGACATTCTCCAGAACAACATTGTCGTATGATAAAGAGTTTTGAGCGTTCCTGATAAAATCAGGCATTTAACATAATGCAAACTTGCAAGCTTTCTTTGCAAAATCATGGCTCCAACGCAAAGCCAAATGATGACTAAAAGCTATGTTTTTGCTGTGTCAAAATTCTCCAAAACCGATAAAAATAATTTATGGGTTTGCCGAGGTTATAGGAGAGCTTTATTATGTTGAATTGACAACCTAAAATTCAAATAACATTTAAGTTCTAACCAAGTTGTCTTCTACTAGATGTTTTTGCTGGTGTAAGAGCACATAATGCATGTAATTGCATAGAATATGGATGGCACGCACAAATTTCCTGGCATTTTTCTATTGTTAAACATCCTTTTATACTTTTTTTCCCCCATTTAATGGAACTTTGTGCACTGTCCTGTTTCTAAGACAAATAATTACAACTGAATCTTCATTTATATTAGTATTGAATTTGCAAATATGAAATTCTGTAGTTATATCATGCCACTTGACTTGGGGGCGAAGGGAAGCTGTCAGATTGGCGGCAATGTTTCCACGAATGCTGGTGGTCTGCACTTTATACGATATGGATCACTTCATGGAAATATACTTGGTAAATACTGCATCCTATTATCAAGTATAGCTCATCCTATTTGCTAATAAGTTTGTGGTTTTAGCTTTCAAAACTATCAGTATTGTGGCTAAACTTTGTTTCCCAATTTTTTTTATTCAAACAACAGATATTAATTTACTCTGGTAATTTTCCTTATGAACATTCTTATATGCTTTCCAAATTTTTTTTCATCTTTATATTTTTATTATTAAAATTAAATGAAAATAACAACTCAATCGGACACGATGGAGAAGAATAATTCTTTTAGCCGACCCCGCTTAGTGGAGTAAAGTCTTGTTGTTATTGCTGTAGCCTATTTTTTTTCGCAAACCCAGCTAATTTTCTTTGCATTTCCTTTTCACTAGCCCGTTTTGCGTGTTTCACCAGTTTGGTTTTCCAAATTTGGCTAAAAAATTTTTTACTTAAACAAGGTCAAAATCTTCTACATTTGTGACCTTACAGCCCAAGACGTTGCTTTCAATTTGTTTGTTTGCTGCCTTCCATTTAAATAAAATGCTTTTTATTTGCTTGTTGATGTGGGACTAAATGCAAAGCCTCAAGTTAGATCTCTTGGATTTTTAACACGATCATACTATTGTCGACCCCGATGCAATAACATGCATTGCTTGCCGAGATTTACCCTACAAGCAATGCTCGTTAAAGCATCATGAACAACATAGGGTCACTCGTCTATCAAGTCTGGCTCGCTATCAAGCACACATGCAAATGAAAATGCAAGCGTACAGAAACCATAGTGGTGACGAGTATGCTGTGAAGGCATACCATGGAGGCATTTGCTCAAGAGGGTGAGCATATTGTGAAGGCATTTGCTCAAGGGGTGAGCGTACCGCAAAGGCACCGGCTCAAGGGATAGATCTGTCGAAGCGGCATTGACTCGAAGAGAATAGGGTGACTAGCTCGAGCAAGAACGCCGAGGGACTCACATCCGCTTGAGAAACTAATCGAAATGAGCTTGCTGAGTAGGCATTAGCTCGAAGGATTGAGTGTACCATAAAGGCGTTGACTCAAAAGATGGGTATGTCGAGGCGACTATGACCCAAAGAGAATAGGGTGACTAGCTCGAGCAAGGACGTCAATGGACTTACATCTACTCAAGAACTAATCGAAGTGGGCGTAACATAGAGGTATTGGCTCAAATGATGGGTATGAAAGGAGATAATGTCCCAGAGGGTTGAGTATGTCGTGGTGGCAGTGACCGAAAGATTGGGTATACTGAGGCAGCAGTGACCTGAAAGGTTGGGTATGCCAAGGCGACAATGACCCAAAGATGTGAGCATACCGTAGAAACATGGGCGCAAAGGATTGGGTATGTTGAGGAGGCAGTGACCCTAAGAAATTGAATATACCGTAATGACAGTGATCTGAAATGTTGGGTGTGCCGAGACGACAGTGATTCGAAGAGTTGAGCGTACCCCAGGAGGCTGGGTATGCTGAGGCAGCAGTGACATGAAGAATTGGGTGTTCGAGGCTGCAGTGACTCGAAAGATTGGGTTTGCCAATGCTACAGTGACCCAAATGGATAAGTATGCCGAGACGACAAAAACTTGAGAAAGAGGTGTCGATTCCCATTGGAGGGAATCATGCACGAGTGTTGTAAGTGTGTGAATAAACACTCCAAAGCAACTCAAGTATGCAACACATCATGTAAAGGTACGTAAACGTAGATGCATGCATAGAGGGAAGTGATGTGCACATGACATGAAGATGTCATGGCAGAGACGCTAAGTATCATGCTCAAGTGAAGCGAGTGCGACTACAAGCCAGGAATGTGTAGGGACACATGTTCACGAATTACACAATAAATGTGACATGTGGATGTGTTGGTGCAAGCAAACAATGCACACCAGACACAACAATTGACCATGCAAAGTATCATATGGACAATGTTAATGCTCATACAAGACATGCACTATGCAAGATGCAAGGCTGATTGTGCTGGGGCGGCTAGTCAAATCAAATTGCAAGGGTTGATCGTGTTGAGGCTGCTGATCAAACCAAAGTGCAAGAATTGATTTTGTTGGGGGCGGCTGATCGAATAGATGTGCAAGCTTGATCGTGTCGGGGCGGTCGGTTGAACTAATGTGTGAGGTTTGATCATGTTGAGGTGACCGATTGAATAATATGCAAGGGTTGATCATGTCGGGGTGGCCGATCGAATTGATGTGCAAGGTTGACTGTGTCGGGGCGGTCGATCGAACAAAAATGCGAGGGTTGATCTAGCGGGGTGACAGATCGAATCAATATGCGAGGGTTGATCGTGTTGGGGTTCCCGATGTAACTGAGGTGCAAAGTTGACTATGTTGGGGCAGCTGGTCGAACCAAAATGCGAGGGCTGATCGTGTTGGGGCGGCCGATTGAACCGATATATGAGGTTGACAGTGGCGAGGCTACCGGTCAAACCAAAATACGCCATTTCTACCGGGACATGGAGACCCATCGACGCCAAATGGCATGTGTAACATGCTTCATGCTAGATAGATCATAATGAAACATGCAACACAATGTAAAGAAAAGTGCAAGGTAACAATTCATACTCGCCCTATCGTACTCACATGGGAACCTAGTGTTGGCATGATAAAATTGTAGATTTCAGCCCGTTGCTCAGCAACGCAGGGCCTACTTCCAACTGATTGACAAAAATGTGAAAGACCTTTCCATGAGGTCTCACTGTCACAAGTGAAAACTTCTCTCATAGACATAGCTTTCGTAATTTGGCCTTAACCCATTCATCGGGAGTTAAGACCGCCGAATAGTCACGGGATTATTTGTATCCCGGACGATAGGTTATTGGTGCTAGGGATTTGCAAGAGGAAAACACTCAGGATTCGCTAGGGATTTGTCCGCGAGAGCTTCCTAACCTTGAAGGCCTCCCTTTAGTACAAATGCCCTAATCTATAGATCCAGCTTAGGGGCTCTAGGAAAAAAGAGAAATGCAAGGATTTTCGAGGATCTTCACCTACTTGACTGTTGATATCACATTTCTTCTCATTGGATGAAGCTCTCCTTGCTGTAGGCAATGTGATTAAGCTTTCTTTTTCTCCCTCTCTAATGAAAAGATGTAGCTCTTCTTATGAAAGGAGGTGGTGGATTTCCTTCCTCCTTCTCCAAAGAGTTGATGAAGCTCTCCTTATGAAGGGAGATGCCCTTCTTTGTCCTTCTCCAAAGCAAGAGGAAGCTTTTCTCTTGAATGTAGCTCTCAGAGAAGACACACACTCTTACTCTCCTAGATATGATGTAGAGCGGATGAGTTTTGGTGGAGGAAATGAAGTAGAAAAAGAAGAGGAAGAGGAAGAATAAAATGCTAGCTTTTCCCTTTTCTCCCTAAGCTCTCCCTTCAGCACTAGCAAGTGAACTCTAGTTGAAAAATGTCCTCCTTGCTTATTTTCGGATTGGTTCATTAGGGCCTCATGAGACCAATCAAATTGTAGGAAAATTTCCCTCCAAATCATAAAATTATCTTCCTTTTCCACATGACATTCATTCCTTGGCTTGTTGGGAGGTGGATGCCATATGTAGCACTTCTACTTGACCTCCCAAACTTATCATGGCCAATGGGGAAGCTGTCAAGAAAGAGGGAAGAAAGGGTAAAAAATTTTGGCTGGTTGAGCTGTTGGTTTGGCGTGGCCACATCTAAAACTGACGGGTTACGTCTGGCTAAAAGGGCTTAAACCCTTGGTTTTCTAAAGGCCGACGTGACTGCACACGAAACTAGCATGGTCACACCATTGTTAGGTGTGGCTACGCCACTTTAGCGGCGTACTTACGCCGTGCTCTCTGTTTTGAGCACGATTTGGGGTCATTTTGGTGTGACCACGCCCTGGCGTGCTCACGCCAGTCAAATTCCTGTTTTCATACCCTGGGTGCGCAACAGAGTTTTCAGACGAGTTTCCTTGGCCCCGGAAGGTTCTGAATAGATGGGAAATGTTCTTTAGCCATTGATGAATGCCCGTGGATGGATGCGCCATAACACCAGAATTAACCCCTCGAAATATTAATTATTTCTGGACGATGCAAAGTGCCTTGAAATCCTAATTCTAACCTAGTAGTGCTCGTGGGCGAACTTTGTGACTCCAGTCGGCCAAAGATAGCTCTGGAACGATGGGATAAGGTCTCTAAACATCGAGACAAGTGCCAAACATATCTCATGTCAAAGCCAACCCCATACCATAGTGAATATTACCTGGGTAGGGCAAAATCAGTACCGGTCCTGGTTTCGTGCTTATGACACGTACTAGGAGGTCCGGTAGGATATCTTGGACAACGGGAAGCTAAGCACATTTCTTTATCCTCAGACGGATATCCCACTCACATGATATCGAAAATTGATGTCAACAACATTCATAAAGAAAAAAAATTTAATAGTTGAGATAAAACTTTGGTAATGGTGACAAAGTTAATTGTAATTTTTTATTATTAGATATTTTATTTTTATATAATGTCTAATATAATTTTAAACCCTCCTAGTCAAGAATGAAAATTGAGAAAATTTTATTTTGTGCCCTCGCTCTAAAAAAGTTTATGATTGTGCCACTAAGTATCATGTTGGGTTTATATGTTTTTTAGCAAACCATTTTATGTTTTTCGTTTTTTTTTATTTTTCATTAGTTAACAAAAAAATTTGAGCAAGAAATTAGGATGAATTAACTACAATACACCAAAGATATTACATGTCAATTCATATATAGCTTTGTACATTGCGGAGTATTAGAATCTTTTTAATCCTACTATCACGCCTATGATAAACAAAAATCAACATCTCCTGTAATGCTTATCATACACGTGCCAATTCACGAATCATTCATTCTTGCTATCAATTTAATTGAAGAAAATATATATTGTGGACATTTATTAGAGGATATTTTAGATGCAGAAAGTGAATTACAGTTTTAAAATGAATTTACATATGTTTATTTTTACAATAAATCATACTTATGAACTTTACCTAGAGTATATCATAAGTAATATCAGGAGTTTAGGAACAAAATTGAGCATGGGATTATATTTGAACTTGAGTTTCTAATGCGGTTTGAACCGATGCCTTAATATGTAGATTAGCAAATTATATTTGATGTAGTTGATAAATTAAATGAGAATTTTGAAACATAATATTTGATAAAGTATTTGTTGATATTATTTATATGATAAAAAGCCTCATTATGGTCAATCTCGATATTTATATATGTAACATATAAGCTATTAGAGTTGGTTTTCGTAGTGTTTCTGTTATAAATATTTGTGGTTTGTCTGCTTACATTTCTATTTTTAGATTTAGTTGAAGGTCTTTGTAAGTAATCTTTATGATGCATACTTTTCTTCGAGAATTTTATTATTTGCTTAATGTCATTGCACAAGCTATAAGAATTTCATATAAAGTGAATATTGGTGACGATTAGGCATATGTTTTTTCTTTTTTGTTTTTCAGTTAATTTTGTTGCTTTAAGATAAGTACGGTACCATGCTTGTAGATGCCCCACTTCTCTTTTAATTCCTTTTCCTTTAACTTGATTGATCCTTTCTCTTTAAGTTCGAATTTTTGTTTTGTGCTGTATAATGGTTCTTCATTTTTGTGTATGAATATTTTTTTTTACATTTTACTTTCAGGTCTTGAAGTCATTTTGGCTGATGGAACAATTCTTGACATGCTTGCAACTTTACGCAAAGACAATACTGGATATGACTTAAAACACCTGTTTATTGGTGCTTATTGATATACTGTTATATTGCCAGGTTCTTGGTAAATACTTTTTTCCAGTTAAGCAGTGAATGATGACATAATCATTAATATGTGCAGTGCAGGAAGTGAAGGCACCATAGGCATTATCACCAAAATTGCAGTGCTCACCCCCTGCAAATTATCATCAACAAATATTGCCTTTCTTGCTTGTAGTGATTATTTAAGCTGTCAGGTTGTTTTTTTCATTCTGTATTGACTAGTCTACTGACGATTTTTTTTCTAAGATTTACATAATATTAAATTATTAATCATCTCATTTGCATTGGATCCACTTATAAATGGCTGATTTAGTTGTTCTTTTCTTTCTAAATAAAAAAGGTTGGGAAGCTACTATAAAACTGCTTTATGAACATTTTCAATTCCAAGTTTTGAAGGAAATTTTTTTAAAAGAATTTTTTTGAAAAGCATCCCAACATGTTTTACCCAAATTAAGGTGCGCATCTCTTGCAACATTTTTCTTCTACCGAAAAGCTGCTAAAAAGCCCAACTGAAAGATCCAAATGACTTTGTTCGGTGCAACTTTTCTATTGCTTAATTTTTTTTTTATAGAAATGTGCTTAGAACATTTTCATTTCGAACGTGCACTTCCTTTATGACTTCATAAGAACTTTTTTTAGCACCTCAAAATTCTATATTAGAGTGAGAGTAAACTTCATGTCATTTATTAGCACAAAATCCAAATGATTTGTGGAAGTATTGTACGACAACAACAATAAAGCCTTAATCCCACTACGTGTGGTCGGTTACATGAATCATTTTTCTCAATTGCGTTCTGTTTATTGTCATATTCTCATTTAGTTCTAATAAATTAAGATCATTTTTTATACAATAAGCCCAAGTCTTCCTAGGTCTACCTCTGCCTTTCTTAACATAAGTCGAATCTAAAACATCTACTCTCCTAATCGGATCATCAGATGGTCGACGTTTAATGTGACCAAGCCATCTAAGGCGACTCTCTCTAATTTTGTCCGTCACTGGAGCTACACCAACCCTATCACGGATATATTCATTTCGCATTTTGTCTCTATGCGTAAAGCCACTCATCCACCTAATCATTCTCATCTCGGTCACACTTAGTACTTGCGAAAGTATTGTGATTGTTAAAAAATATTTAAATGTTTTTCTTTTATTTGAATATCTCTAGCAACTTTTTGCGTAGGCAGAGAAGTTTGGCATTGAATTATTGTGATCTTCCAGCTTAAATAGCACAGAAATCTTAGCTCAGTTGTGTCAACACAGATCAAATTTTGTTGAATTTCATTATCGAGTTATCATAATGACATGTAACCTTGTGTTAATCATGAATCATCTTTATTCCAACTATTTAGTGGAGGCTTTAAGTTTCTTCAATCTTTTTTTGTTGCGCATTGCAAGCGGCGCTAATTCAATCATTGGAAGCTTTTTCGCCATTTTTCATCAAATTATTTTGATGTGCTCTTTTCTCTTTTCTAAGTTGCCTTCATTTTAATCCTATATCCACACCTTTTTGGTACTTCTTTTTTCGGTCAGTCTTGCGTGCGAGTATTCTTCTATTATCTGATCATTTATAAGTATCATCTTCAGTCTCGATAGAATAATTTTGCTATTTAGCTTTCTTATATTTACTTTTCTTCTATCATATCATCATCTTTTGTGCCTCACTTCAATTAATTGTTTTGATTTCTTTGTGCCCAATGCCCATGGTCTTGCCAGATAATTGTTATTATGTCTATTTAATACTCTAATTTCAAGTATCCTTCTAAGGTAATTCTCTCATTTGAACAGCCTTCTTTAATTCTGTAAGTTATTCATCCGCTTGTTAGGATTAGCTATGCTGGTACAAAATGATTGGAATGAGGCTGATGTTAATTCTGTCAGCTGTGGCAGATTACATGAAATTTTGGTTAGTTTTTTGTTTTCCATTCTTTTTTTGACGTTCATTTTAGCATCTATTTCAAACTGGAATTTTGTTTAGTTCTTTCTGGTTATTTTGAGATTGAAAAATATAGCTTATGGAACAAAAAAGTTCATTATCAGCTGAAAAAGATCCTGGAATAACTTATCGCTTAATGTTTTGTGAAAAAGATCCCAGAATAACTATTTAAAAGTGGTAATAGTGCTATTTTTGATGTGATATTAAAAATTAAGTACTATACATAAATATGGATCCGTAAATTAGTACAAACTTCCATTCTTATGTACACCCAAACTTTTTCATATTTACGCATGGTACTCAATTTTTAATATCACATAAAAAATAGCACTATTACCACTTTTAAATAGTCAAATACACATTTTCATGCATGGATTTGAAGTGCCAATAAGCTACTTATGTAAATGTGGAAGTTTAGCTATGAGATATGTAATTTCCCTATTTATTAAGAATAGGCATTTAGAGGGTGATTCTCATAGTTCATTTCTCATTAGCGATCTAACCGTATTCTGTCCTTGCAATTTGAGTTGAAATTGATTATAAAGTTATATTAGTTTGGTAACCTTACATCTAAAAATTCTCAACAATTTTATATGCAAACTTTTCATGTTTACTATTCTCTTTAACTGAACTGAGAATAGCTAACCTGGTCGAAAAATGTTGAGAGGCAACCTTTGTCTGCCAATTATAATACTTAAGAAAAATGATATATATCCAAATTCTAACTGAATATTCTCTCATAACTTCAATGAATGGCCAAGAAGGAATTGTAAAGCTGTCCTCAGTTGTTTTTGATGCTGCTGTTTATGATGAAGTTATTATTAATACTAAAGATATGATTAAGATTTTAATCCGAATCCTCTGAGAGTTTGATTTCATTTCTACTCATGCTTTGTCAATAATTTTTTTTTTCAAATGTTCTGTTAATCTTATGGTTATGCTATAATTCAGCTTTTGCATTGACTTCTCTTGCATACAGAAACTACTTGCAGAAGCGAAACGTGACCTAGGTGAGGCCATTTCTGCATTTGAATTCATGGATTGCAATTCTGTTGAAATGGTAAAATTTAGCATATTGTCAATGTTTTATTTTGTGCAATTTTATGTTTTGTTTATAGAAAATACTGAAAATCTGTCTCTGTTTTTTTCTATATTCAATATTCCTGTATTAATTTAACTCCTTGAAGGATTTCAGGATTAGACACATTTAATGGTTTGTCACTTTTTCATTTCTAGCTCATTAACAATCTTGAGATATTTTTTGTCACAACTCAATCTGGGGTTTGGAATTAACTAAGATGGAACAAATGATCAGACGGTGAAATCAAGTTTTTCTATTTCTGTTTTCTATCATTACTATTTAATGATCCAAATATTAAATGAATGAGTCACTACATAAAAGAAATTAAATTATAACAGTTATAAATTTACCTTAATTTGTATTATCCGTGTCAACTATAAGCATCTATTGCTCTGTTAATCAAATGGTTAAATCTGAAATGTTAGTTTAAAACAACAATAAACTACAAAAGTCAGTAAGTATTTAAACTCCTAAACTATAATAATATGACGAATAAGAAAGCAGTATGCATGCTAGTTGATCAAAGATAAATTAAGGTAGAATAAATAATAATTTACTTATAAAATATGTCAATACAATAAGTTTCATAACATATCATTATACTACTCATTTTCTTATATATAACATTTTATTTATACAACTGTTACATGAGTATCATCTAAAATTATAAGGAAGCAACTTAAGGTGTTAATAATTGAGTATAGTGACTTAGCTGGCTACTTAAGGTGTTAATAATATGCTTAATGTGAAGAAAAATTATATATAAAGTAGGTGTCCGAATCATTTTCTTTTTGTATTAGAGCTTGTATATCTCGTTAAAACTGCAAGATTTTTTTTTTTGATAGATTTCTTTTTTTTCTATTTTCTCGAAATCTTATTCTTCCATAAAAAAATAATGAATCATCGATTTTCTCAATATATCCAAATTCTTAGATTAATAAGCAAAAAATAAATCAATTATTCCCCAACAATATTTTTACCTTTAAAGTATTTTTCCTCATTCAAAATTTTAAGCTTGCTACTCGTAACCACGAAAAATTAGTTTTCTTTTCTAAATCTCTAGTGTCCTATTTCTCTTCTTCATTTACTTTTTTATTTTTTTTAAGCTCATGGATAATTTGGTGTTTTGGCTGTTTTATCACTATTTCCAGTTCTTTGGCTGTATAAGATGATTTTTTATCATGTCTATTTATAGTTTGTACAAACTACTAAGTATTTACCTGTTCCATCTAACTTGGCATTTATCTGTTTCATTATTTTTGTGTAAACTATAATTTTTTGGAAATAATATGAACTAGTCATTTTATTTATTTTTTATTTGTTTTTTGTTAAAATGATCCTTTTTATGCAAAAATGATGAGCAAAAATTTACCCATTATTTGGCTCAAACCCATGAATTTCATGAAGAACCTCATCTCTCAAATCTTTGGCCCTTGGATCTTTTTAAATATCTTTCATTTATCAGTTTAAAATTGTTTTTCTTTAATCCTTCAAGTTGTTTGACAAATTGATAGATTTTTGTATTTTTTTTTAGCTCTAATTTCTTTTTTTTTGTTATGATTTAACACTTAATTTCTTCTCTGAGTAATCATGGTTTTCTTGTATAACACTCTTGTTTTATCCATGAAAATGCAAAATTTTAGCTAATTGCGTTCTTGTTGTTTTTTATTGATTCACAGGCTTTGACTTACATAGAGGGAGCTCGAAATCCTTTACCTGCCTCGTTATACAACTTCTATGTTCTTATTGAAACGACTGGATCCGATGAATCATATGATCGGTAAGCTAATTTCTTTACTAGTTTTTATGTTCTCTTCCACTTGTGGTATGCCATTTTGATGTGGGGCTTCCCCCACCTAACGCTACGGATGCGGGTGCGAGATTTTTCTGTACAGAGGCGGTAAACAGGGCAGCCGACTGAACCGACTTGCATGGGGGACCAGTCCAGGGGACCTGGTCCAAGATTCCAAAGTACAGAGTGATTTCATACAACCCGGGCTGCCTTTCCTTTCATGTCTCCCGCCCCGTCACACCTCCCGCTCGATTTAGCGGCATATTGGGAAGGACGACATTGCCGCCAATCCCTTTCCCTTTTCAGTGATTTCTTTATAGGAGCTTTCATTTTCTGTTTTTCCTCTGTGAGAGTCTTTAACTTACTGTTTTATGGATTTAAGGCTTAGTTTTTTCTGGGAGTTGATTTCGAATTTCCCGTGTGGAATCATTTTCCGTGTTTTAGGATTATATCGGAGGAGGTGGTGGCGTTTCAGCTATATCCTACTTCGTGATGATGATTGTATCTCCCTTTTTATCTTCCCTACTCTATCTCATCCACTACTCTTAGCCACAGGTTATCCCCAACCGCTTCCCCCTGCGTTGCTGAACCCGTTTTTGCTGCAATAACTTATTGTTCAGCTCTTTCCCCTCCACTTGTCCTAGCAGCCAGCCTTCCCAACTGTTGTCCCACTGCTGCCAGTTGCTACCCCACCTTCCGCCAACCTCCATCGCTCTTGTGATACTCTTTAGGTGTTTGTTTGTGTGTTTTGTGTTTTGGTGATGTTATTTCTAGTTTATGTGTTGTAACTCTCTTTTCCTATTAATAAAAATTATTTTTGTGATTTGAGCTTTCTCCTCCAGTATCACATATCTTTCGTAATTATTTTTGTGATTTGAGCTTTCTCCTCCAGTATCACATTTTTTCATAGCTGGCAATTCTATTGTGCATCTAGTAATCATAATCCATGGATTGCAAATTTTTTCATGCAATCATATTTAAGTTAGGGGCTCTTACATACATAGCAACAATTCTTATGTGTTTACATATCTCAAACCTAAACTTTCAATTTTAAACACATGTCCTCATTTTTGAGCTCTTTCTTTTTTCCTCCTTAGAGCCTAGGATCTAGCCTTAGGTTCTTCTTGTTTGACCCTCCTAGATGACTAGTACTGAGACCCGCACCACGTAGAACTTCATACCACTTCTTGACTCATTTTTGTGAAGACCTCACATGAGTGGTTCCGAGCACTCAACTTTTAGTTGCAAGGGCTAAGGACCAATATGTGAAGGGCCCAAAAGTGAGTTTTTATAGGATCAGGAGGTCTTAGGCGAACCATTCGTGGCTCGACTGCAAAAATACCACAATTCACACATTCGATGCATGTACACATCACAATTCACGTTGCTAAGGCTCACACACATCGCGCCATCGATTAAACCAAAATTAATTTTCAGAATGATCCGTCACAAACCCAGAATTCGAAGAAAAATTAAATTTGATGCATTTTTCACTCGATCATTGGCAAACTTATCCGAACCCGGATGATGAAACGGACCACGCAAACGCGTTCGGGGTGTCGAATTTGGCTAGGAAGGACATTCATATTGTTATGGTTTTACATGCACAAACAACATGAAGATCGATGCAACTAATTATTTAATTAAGGGAGGCGGGTTTAGGCTCAGCCCGGGTCCATTTCGAACTAAGCACGAGTCAATTACACTAGGTTGTGCAGTAGCGCGATTCATAAGTTGAAATTTCAATTTTTAAATTAACCGCCCAATTTTATCTTAATTAAATTTAATTACGCATTATGACCTTCCACTTTAGCTCAGAACGTGATTGGAAACCATTCAATTACCTGCTCCCTCTCCCGTAACGTTTTCTTTTGAAATTTGGGTTTACAAAATCATTCAACTCTCCTCCTCCCTACAGGGAAATTCGCTTCTCCCCTCTTCACCGAAATCTACTCTCCTCAATCTCCCCTCTGCACCGAAAGCTCTCCCTCTCCTCTTCCTCCTCATTCGCCTCGCCTCTTCCTCACTCGTCTGCTTCGCCTTCCCCTCTCTCGGTCGCCTCCACCGCAACTCTCGCCTACCCTCCTCTCTTTCGTCAAACAACCCTCAACATTTGATCGAAGCCATAGACCCCCTCCTCCTCTCTTCTTCGGCTCGCCTCTCCCGCTCGGCACGGAAGCCTCTCTCCCTCGCCGAACAACCCCTAACCGCTTGCCCAGAAACCTTCATCCCTCTCAAAATCCCCACTCGCCTTCCTCTCATGCTCGCCCAGAAGGCCCACTCCCTCTCACTCGACCCCACCTCCCTCTTCCTCATGCAGAAGAAACACCGTTTGCTCGCCTCCTCCCCACTGCACTGAAAATATCTCTCTTGACCCCGCCTCTCTCGCTCTCACGTTCGACCAAACTTACTCGAGACCGAAACCCTCGCCTCTCCTTCTCGCGAAAACCACCTCCCACTCGACTCCCTCTCCCTCTCCACTGACACTCTCGAAGCTGCACCTCTTCTCTCCCGGTCGCGCCTCCCTCTCTGCAACGAAACCCACTCCTCTTCATTCCGCCTAACCGCAAGCTCTCTCTCATTCACAAAGGTTCGGCTCGCCTCTCCTTTTAGACGAAAAGAATATCTCC